TTGGCAGCCCCCATGTTGCCATGGGAACTCCACCCTGGCTGCATAGGACCCACACATTGCCATGGGAACGCCCACCTTGGGCATCCATAGAGATCAAGTAAAGTGGAATGAGGCTGAGTGGCACCTCTTCTGGAAATCCCCCAGTGAAGGTAGATACAAGCCACTAGGTTCCTGGTTTGCGGGGGCCTTCGGCTATTCTCTCCTTTTTAGCCTGTTCTGCTTTATGAATGTATATTCACTTTCAATAAAGCTCCCCTCTGGCTACTTCTCCTGTGCGTCTTGCTCAGTTCTTTGTTCCAGATGCCATGAACCCAGACATGGACTGGACCCTCCTCTAGTAAGAGTTGGAGCCTCTGCTATAAATAGGAAAAAACCCAACAGATGGAATTCTACTCCTTAAAAAGTAGGGCTCTTGGTGAAATTTGTTTAGATTGTTTTCATTGTATCCATTTTCTCAGGGTCAATTAAAATCTGTGCTTAACATAGCCCATAACTAGGGACCCTTAATTACCACCAATGATTGGAAAACTATATTGTTCTAGGAACAATTGCTGATATCTTGTGATCCCTTTATCTGCATCATGTTGCCTATCACCAAAAGTAAGGGATGATAAGAGACACTTGAATTATTTTATGGGATGAAGAAAAACCTAGGAGCCCCATCAATTAGTGATACCCACCAATTCCTCTTCATACAGAGAATGGGGAGAGCCACCTTTCTCAGAGAGAAAAGAGGAAGGAGGTCTTCTGTCAGAGGAGATTTGCCTTCAAGATTAGGGAGAATTGCAGGGTTGTAAAACACTGGTATCACTGTCTAGAAAGAGAGTGGTCTTTATCCAAGGCTATTTAAAAGCAGGAACAGATCTTTATCTATCTCCCATGGTTCAGATGTGAAGGAAGAATGGTTAAATAGCCTTTTTCCAGCCCCATAAGTCTATAGTGTGTGCTGGGAACATTCATGAATGTCTGGAAAAGCTGTGAGCACAAAAGAATTCATGTTTGGCTATGGACGCTACCCACCTGCTGTATTCAAAAAGCATCTACTGAAATTTACTTAAATGTTCTCACCACAAAACAAAATAAGACAAAATTTAAAAGACTGGGATGAAAGAGGTGTTAACTAACTTGATCATGAAAATCATTTCACAAAAGATATGTTTATCAAATCATCATGTTATGCACCTTAAAATCATAGTATTTTATTACCCGTAAAGGTAGAAAATTAAAACAAAAAGAAGCACCTGTTGTGAGTCTTTAACAAAAACATCTATTTAGGACATAATTGAACCTAGTTTTATGTTAGCTTCCTTCCCTACATAACTTTTTGACCCTATCTTCTCTCTCTCTTTCTCTCTCTCTCTCCACCACTTACTACTAAATTACCATGTTTTTCTGAATTGTAAGTATCTTTACAAGCCACTTTCAGTATTTAAAAAAGGATATAATTGAATAAAATAAAATCTCTTAAAGTTTGAAGGGCATTTTTAAACCAGTAGTTATGCCAGTCACAGGGGATATAAGCAGGACAAAACTTGATAGGAATAAATAGAGACAGACCAACTAGCAGTAAGACAATAAGCAACCTTTCAGGGAATGGGAGTGCTGTGGATCATGAAGCGGAAAGCCCTGTTCCTTGGGAATAGGACAGGATGCAAGGGGAGGCTATAAAAGAGTTGGTTCTAGGGCATTGCCTTGAAGAAGAAGTGCAAATTCTGCTTGCAAGTATGAATAAATGAATATTAAAAGCCAGGTTTTTATATCCGTGTGTTAATAAAACTGAAGTAGCAGCATATATTTTACCAGGGTCAGTAAGAGAGCATGACCTTCCAGGAACAGCTTCATTTGAGGCTGCCTTTCTTATTCCAGGAAAAACACCATTATTCCAACCCAGTAATCACTGACAAACATCCTCCTTCACTAACGTTTCCCTCTACATCTTAGTTCTCACCATGTGGACAGCAATCATGTCTTTAACAAAAAAGAAACACTTTTCTCATGTTTTTGAAGCCCTGATTGAAATCATGTTGATAAAAAATTCTTTCAGCCTCCTCAACACTAATGCAAAAATATCCTACTCAATCACAAACGTTACAGATAAAGGGAACGCTTCCTCTGGAAGTTGGTATAGAGAGCTCATTTACCATACACATCTATAATTTTAATTTTGTAAGGAAACCCCAGAGTGACACGAGCAGGAGTGACCTTTAGGGTCTGTACAGAATGAATTTAAGTGCGAGGACTCTGTGGTGATGCAAAGGGACATTTGGCCAGTGGCTCAGCATGGCTGACTTCCCACATCCTGTGTATCAGTTGGACTTCCTTTCTAAAGTAATACCATTGCTGGAGTCCTAGGCCAGAGAGGGGGTAACTTCAGGGAATTCCAATCTATCAGGTTGTTATGGTTTAGGTATTAGGTGCCCGCCAAAGGCTCATGTGTGAGAAAATGCAAGAAAGTTTAGAGGTAAAATGATTGGATTATGAGAGTTTTAACCTGGTCAGTGTATTAATCCACTGATAGGGATTAACTGGGTGGGATCTGTAGACAGGTTGGGTGTGGCTGGAGAAGGCAGGTCATTGGAGTTTACCTTTGGGACTTACATTTTGTTCTTGGTGAAAGGAAAAGTCTCTCTGCTTCTTAGTACCGCATCTTGAGCTGCTTTCCACCACCACCACACTCTTCTGCCATAATGTTCTGCCTTATCTCAGGCCCTGAGGAATGCAGTGAGCCATCTGTGGACTGAGACCTCTGAAACCATGAGCACCAAATAAACATTTCCTCCTCTAAAATTATTTTTGTCAGTTCTTTTCGTTGCACCATGAAAAAGCTGACCAAAACACAAACTGACAAATATACAAACTAGCCCCAAATATCAAAATGAAAAAGGTCATAGTGAAATAGAAAAGGAATTTATTCAATATAGTTTATATTGGGAAGACAATCAGTCTCAGTCTTGAGAGATACTGACATGAGCACTAGATTTAAATAAAGGAAGAAATGGGGTAGAGGACAAGAGGTATGCATAATTAAGCAGTCTTGATCAAACTATGATCCAGTTGAACATTATCTCAGGACTGGTTCTTTGAGGTCCTGAAGAAGTAGTTATTGCAATCTGGTTCCCATCATGAGCTGTGTGCTCCAGCTGAGGGGACAACCCGATCTCCCACCATGAGGTCATTGTTTCCATTAAGTGGAGATGAACTTGTCACAGGTTGATCTGCCTGTAAGACTCATTACTCTGGTCAGGTTGAGAGAACTGACTGGAGACATTTAGGTGTACCTCTGGGAGTGTAGGGCAGGTTGTCATGAAAGTGTGCAGTTGAGAATCTGTTGGTTTTGATATTCCTGAAAATCTTGAAAATACCTTGGTGCCTTCAGCCTTGAAAAAGGGATGAAAGAGATTAGGTAAATTTAGGGCTTATCATCCTTGTGTTACCAGTTTTTAGACAGATAGATACTCCTTAAGTAATTAACATGTCCACATACAAATTTGTGTAGGAATCTGATCCAAAATTTAAGGTAATAAAGGAAACATACAAAATGAAAGCAGAGATGCCAAGATTTTTTTCTTGCTTTTAGTTACCACTGGGCACCTGCATTTCCAAAACCCAGTGCTTTTAGCAAAAGCAGTCTCTTAATCCTTGCTATAATACCAGTGGTACTGGTATATTTTTATTTATTAAATTCTTACTGTGCCAAGAACTTGATTTGCATGGATGTGTTAAATTCTGACAATGACCTTTTTATGGATGAAAGGCTGAAGTTCAGATAGATTTAGTCATCTACCCCATACCAGTGTGATCATGGTTTGGTCTAACTGTTATTAATTATATATTTTACTATTTCATTTAATTCCAAGCAGTATTCAATCTCCAAAATAATACAAGATGTTATTGGTGCACTTAAATTATGTGCAAGCTGGAGAAATTTTATGCTATAGCAGCAGCCTTTTTGTTTTGGAGATTTTATCGAGGCCCCTGGAAGATTGTCAATTTATTGAATCCTGTCCTGAATTATCCAGAATAGCCCTGAGATGGGTGGGTGGGTGGCTGGTTCATGCTTCCCTGGGCTTTGCCTGTGCTGATGAGAGAAGAGCTAGTTGTAGTGACAAGACAAGCATTAAAAAAAAATAGGGGATATGAACCTGATCGTGTGATGAGATATTTTCTGAGGCTGGTTTTTCCGCCTGTAGTAATTCTCTGGTTATCACCAGTAAAGCCAGAGGAATTCTTAACAAGAGACACAAATAATGAATAAAAAAGCCATCTAGTTGGTCATCAAGGACCAAGATTCATAATGCCACCACTGTGCTTAATCAGGTTCATGCGCTTTTCACAAGTTCCCTGGTCTTGGAAGATGGAAATGGTTCAGGCCTGAATTACTGTTTAATATCTTTATATAATTTGAAGTATAATCTGATTCTGGGGTCTTGTCCTCACGGTTGGGAAACAAAATGTCAAGAATTTCCATTTGATTGATGTTACATAATAAGTTCCAGTCTCTATAATCTAAATAGCATGATTCAATACTTCTTGGCTTTAATTTTCTCTTTTTGACAACAAAAATGTTATTATTTGTAGAATAGCATGTATTCTTATAGCCAGGAATCCCAAAAATGTACATTTAAAACTCAATTTTAGTATTCTTTGATGAAATCAGAATCACCCTTTCTTGTTTCAAAAATGAACCCCTTAAGTTCCATGTGATGCCCTTCCTTAGATGTTTTCTAAGTTACTGTGCTTTATCGGCTCAGCTCATTTTAAGTACTCAATGTTGCAAACATTAAAAAGAAACCAAAGTGCAGCCTTCATCAATTGCAAATGTTTTCTACAATACCATTGCCTCCAAAGGAGACAGTCCTCTGAGATTGAATTTTTTTTTGAAAATTGTGATATTCAAAGATGACTAGGATGTCTGAAATCCTTAATAGAAATGTCAGACAGCCTAGAAACATTCTGTAGAGTGAGAGAGTAGTAAATGGAGGGGAATGGCCACCTGGCCCAGCAGGGACCACCTCTAATTCTGGGCTGTGTGTAGATTCTTGAATGCTGCAGGGATCACTGACACAATCAATAATGATAATCATCATTTACCCTCAAAAAGGACAAAATTGGATCCAATTGAACTGGTGTTAGAGAACTCAAGTAATGACACTGCGTTTGGGGACAGTCATATCCTCAAGGTCATGCTACACGCATTCCAATCTTTCTAGTATCAGTTGAAAGAAAGGGAGCTGGGTGAAGCATAGACTTCAGCAGAGCCTGGAAATATAGGCACCCTTAGTTCATTTGTATCTCTGTTCTTGTCCCTGTGTGAACCCAGAGCTGCAGGCTTTGTCACAAGGAAGATGCTATATGTTGTGTTTTAAATCTCCAGGAGGGCAGCTCCCTCAGTTCATTTCCGCATCCCCCACCCCCCTCTGCATCTTCATTTCCTGTGAAGACAATGACTTACTTGCTGGCCCATTCTGACCCTGCACACTGTCTCTTTGTCCCCACAGAATCTGTACCAGAACAGGTTTTTAGGCCTGGCTGCCATGGCGTCTCCATCACGAAACTCACAGAGCCGACGCCGGTGCAAGGAGCCACTCCGCTACAGCTACAACCCTGACCAGTTCCACAACATGGATATCAGGAATGGACCTCATGATGGTGTGACCATCCCCCGCTCCACCAGTGACACTGACCTGGTCACCTCAGACAGCCGTTCCACACTCATGGTTAGCAGCTCCTACTACTCCATAGGGCACTCACAGGATCTGGTGATCCACTGGGACATTAAGGAGGAAGTGGACGCTGGAGACTGGATTGGCATGTACCTCATAGGTGAGTAGATGATCACCTTCAGCCCAGCTTGAGGGAAACACTGACTTACCCAGGCCCACTGACAAGGTGCCACCGAAATAATGATCTTATGTATGTGGTTTCAGTGTTCAACAGGATATTATTCATAATTTGCTTTTATATGTACTTTAATGTTTTCTAAAATCTACAATATCATTTAGACACACAACTGAGTTATACATCAGAGTCTACCACACTGGAGACCACCAGGGCATTGCCTTATTTTTCTGCAGACCACATGATAAGGCACTGTTGCCATCTCTATTCAATGAAAGAAAATCGTGACATAGCAGGTTATGTCATGGTTAAAAACAAACATCATTGCCACTTGAAACTACAGAAACTCTTCAAGTTGTGAATAAATGAATATCAAAAGCCGTGTGTTCATAAGACCATAGTAACACCATTACCCCACCAGTGTGCACACATCTAAGTGCAGGTAATTGTATTTTTCTTCCTAACACAATCATTTCATCATGACCTTCAAAATTCCTACTGCTTTGTATTCAGAAGACATGCTGGGATTGTACATACAGTTATGGTGCTGGAGAAAGTTGACTTCATTTACCTTAGGTAAAGTTATATACTCAAAACTGTCAATGTTCCAAAATTGAAAGTTCATGAGAAGACTTTTTTTAATGTGAATTTTATCAAGTCTGTACAGACAAACTAAATTTCACAAATAAATTGGACATTGAAGCAACTACTTTATAAAAGTTTCACCATTCTCATTAATTAGTTTTGAAATAAAATCTTGCAAATCTGAAATTATGAAAATAAATTACATGAAAAATGTATTTTTCTTTTATGAGAAAGAAAGCGGGTGTGGTAGAAATTGATATGATTATACTCAAGCCAATGTGTAAATTTTTGGGGTGAGGGGGACACAAGAATCAACAGATCCAACACCAGGTCAATAGAGGCCAGGCCTTCTGCATTCAGTTGGTATAGTACATCATTTACATACTCAGGTGCACAACTCCAGATATAACATCATCAAACAGCATAGGAAGTAATTGTTATGAGTAACTTACAACCTGGGCCATTATTATGGTAAAATTAAGGGAATCTTATCTGTCAGAAAAATATATTTGGTCCTCTTAAAGTTTCTGCCGACAGCTTGGTTAGTGTATTTACAACAAACATATTAATGTAAAGATGAAGAAACGTAACTTTTGAAATTATTACACAAATAGTAGTTAACTAGATAAATAGGACTTCCAAACAGTGAGAATATAATGTTTTTAAAAATGAGTTCTTAAATGAAAGCAGACAGATCATTCTAGGAAAGACATTGTAAACTCACAGCCCACCAAGCATATTTTGTTTAGTCTACATGGTTTTGTTTTAAATTTGATTAATTATTAACATTTAAAAATGTAGAAATTTCACCAGCTTTCTAGTGTCTTTCACAAACACCCCAATTTGGCAGACTCAGCTTGTAATATCATGGGGCTCTAATCAGCTTGGTTAAATATTGTTGCCCCCTTGAGACTGGCCTGCAAACTTTAATTTTGTCAAAGTTCCCCCTCCCACCCACCCTCATTTTAATTTGGAATGTGACTTGTTTAACAGCTGAAGCAATTAGGTTTTTGTGTGTGAGTGTATACACACACACACACACACACACACACACACACACAGAGTTTTGAATCAACGATTTACAAAGGTACCTTCCTACAGCTGGTGAGTATTGACACCATTCCTCAAGTTAGGGAACAACTGGAAAGGGATCATGTTTGGGGAGAAGATAATGAGCTCAGTGTGGAATTTACTATGTTTATGGGACAAATGAGGTTCCATTATCCACAGCGAATTAACGAATGGTTCTGCAGCTCAATCATAGATTCATGTTACAGCTTTAGATTAGCCTGGGAGTAGATAAGCTACCTTGTGGATTGTGTGTGGAAAAAGCACTAGAAAGTCCCTGTCAGAGAAAGGGGGTAAGGGAGAGGCAGAGAAGAAACTCTAAAAGAAATGGAAGAGGGTGAAAAGGAAGGACCACTAGGAGCTCACACCACACAGGACACTCTTGTCCTGTGAGGATACTGGGGAAAGGAAGGGGCTGTCAGCCACGTCAAGTATCACGAAACTCTGTGAATGAATAAGATCTGGTGTTAACATGACATTTTGACTGAGCCAAAAGTAACCACAACTCATCATCTTGGAATCTTACTCTGACAGTTTGTTATTCTCATAGTAGCTACACATACATAACTGTGAAGTTATTTAATGCAGAATGCCAACACTTTCAGTAGCAGAACACTTCAAAAATGATTTTCCCATCCAAATTATCTGTGAATCTTAAAAGTTTATAATTTGTGAGTCTTTAGCAATTTATCTTCCAGATTTGCAGTGCCTCGCCAAAGCTCAAGTCATGGGTACAGATCCAGAAATTTAGGGATGGTAATTTCATTTAATCTGTCATTTCCAAATGAGGAGCTGCCAATTGAATGGCTCCTATGACCACACAGCTGCCTCCCTGGCAGCAGAACTTACGCTAACAATGGGAGCATGTTGGCATTCTGGTGCAACATCAGGTATGGGCCATTCCACATCAGTGAGCCATCAAAATGTCCAAGTAAGGCCAAGTAATGCCTTCAGCATTTTGTGACCTCTAGTACTCTCCAAACAAACATAATTTTCTTCTGTCATAAGAGGGTAAAGATATCATGATGTATAGGGTGAGGTATGGTCCTACTCAATGACACTCTCACAAAATCGCCAATACTGTCCTTAACCAGGACCATAGGAACCCAGAAATTGTATGGTAACATTAGCATTACCATGATTATAAAGTGAAATAGAATTCTTTTACAGAGTTAAATGAGAACAATACATGATTCTCTCTTAATGGCATAGAATGGAGAAAGGCCTTGTGATATCAGTAATAGGTCACTCTGGTTTAGAATCATACTCTGCCTCTGGCCAGATGTAAAACCTCAGTCAGAAACTATAATCTAAGCCACAGGTTTTTTTAAGTCAGTTTTTCATTGCTGTAACCAAAACACCTGATAAGAACAACTGAGAGGAGGAAAGATTTATTTTGGCTAATGGTTTCAGAAGTTCAGTCCTTGGTCATCTGGCTCTAAGGCAGAAACATTGTGGTA